AACTATCAGGGGGGGAAAGCGCCAAGCCATTACGACTATATAGCACTGGGAAAGGGGTCAGGATAAGAATTTGGGATGGGACGGGGGGAAGGAATGGCGCCCAACCACTTGTGGACGGTCGGGAGATTGAACGCCGACCTGCAGGAAGTGAGGCCGTCGCTCTACCGTCCAGCCCAAAGTGGTTGGGTGAATTCTGGGCTCAGGAACACGAGTAGACTTTTATTGTGTTGCTTCAATATTTGTTCTCGTGGTACAGAGAACAAATTAGGTTTGTTCCCCTCTCGGCTCACAGTGAACATTATCTTTAAATTACTTGTTCATCTGTTGACGTTGTCTGACATGTTCACCTGTTCACGTTCACTGGCATGTTCTTCTCTGATGATGATTCTGATGAAATGTGTTCTGAAGACTTTTTTTTGGAGGGGAGTTACAATAGGGGATTGTTCTTCCCTTTTCGTGTTAGGGAGAGTGTAGGGAGGGTGTGGAATGGCTTTGTGTAGGTTAGAGAGGGTGTAGGAACATTTGGAGTGGCTTAGTATAGGTTAGGGAGGGTGTAGGGACATTTGGAGTGGCTTAGTATAGGTTAGGAAGGGTGTAGGGACATTTGGAGTGGCATAGTATAGGTTAGGAAGGGTGTAGGGACATTTGGAGTGGCTTAGTATAGGTTAGGAAGGGTGTAGGAACATTTGGAGTGGCTTAGTATAAGTTAGGAAGAGTGTAGGAGCATTTGGAGTGGCTTAGTGTAGGTTAGGGAGGGTATAGGGAGGTGTGGGTTGGCTTGGTGTAGGTTAGGGAGGGTGTAGGAACATTTGGAGTGGCTTAGTATAGGTTAGGAAGGGTGTAGGAGCATTTGGAGTGGCTTAGTGTAGGTTAGGGAGGGTATACGGAGGTGTGGGTTGGCTTGGTGTAGGTTAGGGAGGGTGTAGGAACATTTGGAGTGGCTTAGTATAGGTTAGGAAGGGTGTAGGAACATTTGGAGTGGCTTAGTATAGGTTAGGAAGGGTGTAGGGACATTTGGAGTGGCTTAGTATAGGTTAGGAAGGGTGTAGGAGCATTTGGAGTGGCTTAGTATAGGTTAGGAAGGGTGTAGGAGCATTTGGAGTGGCTTAGTATAGGTTAGGAAGGGTGTAGGAACATTTGGAGTGGCTTAGTATAGGTTAGGAAGGGTGTAGGAACATTTGGAGTGGCTTAGTATAGGTTAGGGAGGGTGTAGGAACATTTGGAGTGGCTTAGTATAGGTTAGGAAGGGTGTAGGAACATTTGGAGTGGCTTAGTATAGGTTAGGAAGGGTGTAGGGACATTTGGAGTGGCTTAGTATAGGTTAGGAAGGGTGTAGGAACATTTGGAGTGGCTTAGTATAGGTTAGGGAGGGTGTAGGAACATTTGGAGTGGCTTAGTATAGGTTAGGAAGGGTGTAGGAACATTTGGAGTGGCTTAGTATAGGTTAGGAAGATTGTAGGAACATTTGGAGTAGCTTGGTATTAGGGATGAATATATCCATCCCCGCTACAAGGGCTACCGAAGATAAGGGAACGATAAGGCCACCGATAAGAGAGGACCATACGGGTTATACACATACACAGTCCGGTGTTCCCATGGTTGGTGTAACAATACACTACATGACGTCACAGTGTAACGAACCAACCCGTTCTCACACTTTCGTATAGTCAATATTGACTTATTAAATACGTCCATATGTGACATACTAATTTATTGTGAATATTTTAGTTTACCTTGAAAAGCTTCATAGAAAACACCGACCTTACCTAACCTTCTTAGTATGTTAAGATAAGCATCTTATTGCTTCTTAATTACAATTATTACTTAACGTATTATAGGTATACGTTAAGTAATAATTGTAATTACGAAGCAATAAGATGCTTATCTTAACATACTAAGAAGGTTAGGTGAGGTCGGTGTTTTCTATGAAGCTTTTCAAGGTAAACTAAAATATTCACAATAAATTAGTATGTCACATATGGACGTATTTAATAAGTCAATATTGACTGTAAGAAAGTGCGAGAACGGGTTGCAACGACCATTCAGCTGTTGGCCTGGAGCGAAACAATGCCGTCCGAACTATGTGGTTCGCGGCTTGCCTGGCCTGATTGGACTTTTTTTTTTTTCAGGGATATTCCTGCGCGGGCCATGATTGGACTTAACGATGGGGTCTGGCTGGACTGGCATATATATTGCTTGTTAGTAGACTTGAGTGATTAGGCTGGAACTTGCGAACAAATGAACAAATCCACAAAGGGCCGTGATGAGGATTCGAACCTGCGTCCGGGAAGTTCCCAGACGAATGTGTAGTGTAGTGGGACATGTGTTTGGGGACTACATATATCAGCCTATAGTCTCCATACGATGATAGTACCTATGGCAACTGTGGGTCCTATAGTATCATATTGCCACAGTACCACTATAGTACCTGTGGGTCCTATAGTACAATATTGCCACAGTACCACTATAGTACCTATGGCAACTGTGGGTCCTATAGTACCATATTGCCACAGTACCACTATAGTACCTATGGCAACTGTGGGTCCTATAGTACAATATTGCCACAGTACCACTATAGTACCTATGGCAACTGTGGGTCCTATAGTACCATATTGCCATAGTACCTATGGCAACTGTGGGCGGCGTATATGAAATTTAGATTGTTTAAAAAAAATCTTTTTGCATTATTGACTTTGTCCAGAGCCAAAGAAAGAATGGAATAACCTAACCTAACTTTTCATAGGCCTATTGTATAGTATAATATATATATATATATATATATATATATATATATATATATATATATATATATATATATATATATATATATATATATATATATATATATATATATATATATATATATATATATATATATATGTCGTACCTAGTAGCCAGAACGCACTTCTCAGCTTACTATGCAAGGCCCATTTTGCCTAATAAGCCAAGTTTTCCTGAATTAATATATTTTCTCTAATTTTATTCTTATGAAATGATAAAGCTACCCATTTCATTATGTATGAGGTCATTTTTTTTATTGGAGTTAAAATTAACGTAGATATATGACTGAACCTAACCAACCCTACCTAACCTAACCTAACCTAACCTATCTTTATTGGTTAGGTTAGGTTAGGTAGCCGAAAAAAATAGGTTAGGTTAGGTTAGGTAGGTTAGGTGGTCGAAAAAACATTAATTCATGAAAACTTGGCTTATTAGGCAAATCGGGACTTGCATAGTAGACCGAGAAGTGCGTTCTGGCTACTAGGTACGACATATATATATATATATATATATATATTTATATATATATATATATATATATATATATATATATATATATATATATATATATATATATATATATATATATATATATATCAGTTAAGTCTAAGTGTATGCTAGGCCTAGGATGACATATTTAAGCCTAAGACTGGTTAGGTTGTAGTTTTGTGTAGCCCTTTAAACTACCTATGGTGGGGATCCGGTCGGCCGAGCGGACAGCACGCTGGACTTGTGATCCTGTGGTCCTGGGTTCGATCCCAGGCGCCGGCGAGAAACAATGGGCAGAGTTTCTTTCACCCTATGCCCCTGTTACCTAGCAGTAAAATAGTTACCTGGGTGTTAGTCAGCTGTCACGGGCTGCTTCCTGGGGGTGGAGGCCTGGTCGAGGACCGGGCCGCGGAGACACTAAAAAGCCCCGAAATCATCTCAAGATTACCTATAGTACAAAATGTGGACTTTTTATGGTCTACAATACATACATTCCATCTAAAATTAGCCATTTATGTCCACCCAAACTCATTCATATGTCTAACCTACGCTTGAAACACCCAACTGTCTATGCTACCCGTGAATTTGTTCCATACATCACCACTCGTGTTTTCCAAACCAGTATTTACCCAGGTCTTTCTTGCATCTGATTTAGGTGGCATGACCTGGCTTTAAGGCTCCTCCTGAGAAAGGGCCAGTATTCACCAAGCATTAACTTGTCCATTGACGAAGCCTGTACATCTTTCGTCAGTTATGGTGGCTTAAGTCTGAATTAAAGAGTTTATAAGTTTGGGAACTATTCAACTGATTGGTCAACCGACGAATATAATTGTTATAAGAATCTCGTAAGTCTTCTTCGGAGCTCATAAAGTGTTGTAATAAATGTAACCTAATTGACTATGATTAAGATGTACAGGCTTCGTGTTAGGCCCTGGGGCCAGATTCACGAAGCAGTTACGCAAGCACTTACGAACGTGTACATCTTTCCTCAATCTTTGACGGCTTTGGTTACATTTATTAAACAGTTTACAAGCATGAAAACTTGCCAATCAACTGTTGTTATTGTTATAAACAGCCTCCTGGTGCTTCGGAGCTCATTAACTGTTTAATAACTGTAAACAACGCCGCCAAAGATTGAGAAAAGATGGGCAGGTTCGTAAGTGCTTGCGTAACTGCTTCGTGGATCTGGCCCCAGGTTCGTAAGTGCTTACGTAACTGCTTCGTGGATCTGGCACCAGGTTCATAAGTGCTTACGTAACTGCTTCGTGGATCTGTCCCCAGGTTCGTAAGTTTTTCCGTAAGCGTAACTGCTTCGTGAATCTGGCCCCAGGTTCGTAACTGCTTCGTGGATCTGGCCCCAGGTTCGTAAGTGCTTCGTGGATCTGGCCCCAGGTTCGTAAGTGCTTACGTAACTACTTCGTGGATCTGGCCCCAGGTTCGTAACTGCTTCGTGGATCTGGCCCCAGGTTCGTAAGTGCTTCGTGGATCTGGCCCCAGGTTCGTAAGTGCTTACGTAACTACTTCGTGAATCTGGCCCCCTCATCTTCTCTAGCACCGTGTTAATTGGCCAACAAGCTGTGAATGAGGTTAATCACCTGATAGCTTTTAGGGCTGGGTTAATGGCTGTTAACTGTATCATTATATACTCCCTTGTTTGTCTCTGTTTGACCCTTGACCCTGTTCATTGTTTATGTCTGTGTTTGACCCGTGACCATGTTTGTGATTTGTAGATGTGGACAAGCTGGGATCCACCTCGTCCCGCCCTGTGTCCCCATGTCCCAGTGACGTCAGTTCCTCTGACCAATCACACGCCTCAAATCTGTCACGTGTGTCATCGCGGCTGCCAATCAGGGCCCTGCATGTCTCTGGCCCCGCCCACTCAGGCTCCATCACTTCCCTCTGTAAGTACGACTTTCGGGATGGGCTTTCCTCCTCCTGTTGCGCCTATGGCACCTTTGTTATGCTGCTTGTGTCACCTCTGTCATGCTGCTTGTGTCACCTCTGTCATGCTGCTTGCGTCACCTATGTCACCTGTGTCATGCTGCTTGCGTCACCTATGTCACCTCTGTCATGCTGTTTGTGTTACCTCTGTCATGCTGCTTGTGTCACCTCTGTCATGTAACTGATTATGTCACCTTTGTCATAGTTCTTGTCACCTCTGTCACATTATTGCTTATATCACCCCTGGCATGTCATTCCCTGTCATTTGTCACAAGATTGAGTGTGTCACCTGTCATGTCATTGTGTGTCACCTGTCATGTCATTGTGTGTCACCTCTTAGTTATTGCTGTATAACGATATGTCTTATACTCATGCAACCTCAGTCCCCTCTATATAACGGCGGAGTAGAAGAGCTTTATGTTATGTTATTAAATATAATGTTATTAAGTTATTAAAACAAGACTAAAAACCAGTGGGGACAAGTGAGGAAAACTAAAGAAGAGCGCATCGCACACACCACCACTCACGAGGAAGAAAACTCTTATGAAACCGGTAAGATCACACGTTAAACCTTCCGCCCACTCCGCCTCCATTGATTAAGATTAAGCCGCCCTAGAGGTGGCACGGGTATGAATAGCCCTTAAGGATGAGACGAATTATGTTTCAGATTTAGCTACTCAGATCGAAATGTCCATGCAGCACGGTCTATGGTGAGCCCGTAATATGAAGTGTTCCGCCTCCAGATCCTGTAGTTACTATATACCTTCATAACGTTGTACGGCAGCACGGGGGACCCTCTTCACAGGGTGCTTCCTCACGGTGTCCCTTTTCACTTTGTCCTTCCTCAATACGATGACCAAAGCTCGCCCCCTCACCGCTACCCGCAGCGGGGGCAACAGCCCCCCACCTCGCAGAACCAGCAGCGTGAGGCGTGGGTTTACAGGAGGAGGCAACGAGGCCCCAACACCCTGTACAGGGAGGACAGGCACCACAGGACCCTCCAGGAACGTCATCCTCAGAGAACACGCAACACCCGTACTCCTCCACGTGGGGGAGCACCCACACCCGCAGCGGCACATGCAGAATCCTCCGGGACCACTAAAGAGTTGAAATCCTCCTCCCTGAGAAGATTCACACGTTCCACTATGCCAGCACGGCACACTGCAGCCAGGTGCCCCGACAAGCTGCACCGGAAACGCATATACGGGGCTGACCAGCATAGAAATCCCAGACGTAGAGCCCCATCAGCATCACAGAGGACGGGCCGGCAGCTGTAAGTCCCATGGTGAGCGTCCTGGTCCCATTTGGTGTGCCTTTTAGATAGCCAGAAGAAATCACATTCATACGGATGTTCAACACACGCCCAAACTGTCCAAAATAACGTCTTTACAGGTCGTCCGGACACTCAAAGGGCGCACTGTGGACACTCACATACGTTGTTGTTCCACTACGATCTGATATGGCCAGTCCCAGCATGCCCAAGCAACGTGAGGGAGCACCGGTCAAAACGCTGGATAAAATCTGTGAAGACGTCCGCGGTGGCTAGATATGATCCGCTCACCACCGACCTCGGCCACAGCAACACGCATAACATCAAACAATGCTACCACCACAGCTGGGTAGTCCACAATGCCGGAGAATTCGAGGCCAGCCATTAACGACCGCTTTACAGGATGGTAAGGGCTCCCCCGTCACGCAAACCCACACTGGCCCCCGCAAGCATCACCACCCAACCCGTCCTCTTAAAAATAACTTCGCTTTTCGATCGTATGCGCGGCTATGGGGAAAAGTGGGCATAATTTGATATGAAATCGACTCACAAAAGTGACGTACTGTCTCGTTTTCTGTTTGAGTCATCCGGCTTACTCGGAAAGGTTAGAAGAGGAGACTTTCAATTAACGATTTTTATAACGTTCTGAAACTTTATGAGAATTTCCTGCCCACCTAAGACCAACGACCGCTCACAACACCTGGCTGATAAAGAAAGACTGCAGAGCTCAGCAGACATGTCCACTCCCTCTGACGGTCGAAAGGCGAATCCAATATATACAATGTTCAACAATACACCAGCAGCACTCGAATACAGAATTCAAATAAGAAACACAACTGTAACTCAATACAGTAGCACGAAATACAATATTAAAGACATGCATAATTACATTACAGGAAATCAGTCAAATCAAAACTTGACCTACAACACATATATGTCGTTACACATCACACACCAACCCGGTAGAAACATATTAACATATTAACTAACCTAACCTAACCTAACCTAACCTAACCTAACCTAACCTGGTAGAAACATATTAACATATTAACTAACCTAACCTAACCTAACCTAACCTAACCTAACCTAACCTGGTAGAAACATATTTATAGCATCAACAACACAGCAATAATTACCACTTAAACAATAATGATCACTTAACTGTTTCTAGACAGCATAGAAACAAGACATCTTGAGGTTATCTTGAGATGATTTCGGGACTTTTTAGTGTCCCCGCGGCCCGGTCCTCGACCAGGCCTCCACCCCCAGGAAGCAGCCCGTGACAGCTGACTAACACCCAGATACCTATTTTACTGCTAGGTAACAGGAGCATAGGGTGAAAGAAACTCTGACCATTGTTTCTCACCGGCGCCTGGGATCGAACCCAGGATCACAAGTCCAGCGTGCTGTCCGCTCGGCCGACCGGCTCCCGACATACACAGTATAAAGTGCAGGACCCATCCAAACACGTGGGCCGTTACTCCACACATCACAAACAAACAAGCAAGCAGAGCTAAGAACACACAACCAAGAAATTACACATAAGAACTGAATCACGCAGCAGCGACACATCCCAACGACATAAGGCGACGATATAACGATTTAACAGTCTCCGTGGTGTAGTGGTAAGACACTCGCCTGGCGTTCCGCGAGCGCTATGTCATGGGTTCGTATCCTGGTCGGGGAGGATTTACTGGGCGCAATTCCTTAACTGTAGCCTCTGTTTAACGCAACAGTAAAATGTGTACTTGGATGAAAAAACGATTCTTCGCGGCGGGGATCGTATTCCAGGGACTTGCCCGAAACGCTACGCGTACTAGTGGCTCTACAACCATGTAACAACTCTTCTATATATCTCAAAAAAAAAAAATATTATTACGACAACAGGCAATTACAGGCCTACATAAATAAAAAAAATATTGCAATGGAGCCTCGCACTTACCAGAATGAACACAGCAGATGCCCTAATGCCCAGCATGTGCAGAAGGGACTGGTACACGTACCAAAAGACAGCTCCTGTTGTCTTGGAGTCAGAAATGTCCCACTGATAGTCAGCCAAACAGCTCCCCCAGTCCAACGACTGGTTCAACCCCGACCATCCTGTGAACTACGTAATCTAGCAGAACCTTGTACAGTAGTACGGGCCAGGCATGTCAAACTGAGAGCCCCCAGAGGGCCATATTGGCCACATTTGTGTTGTCATGAGGGCCACACACCACAACTGAGGGTCCCCAGAGGGCCATATTGGCCACATTTGTGGTGTCATGAGGGCCACACGCCACAACTGAGGGTCCCCAGAGGGCCATATGGGCCACATTTGTGGTGTCATGAGGGCCACACATCACAACTGAGGGCCATATGGGCCACATTTGTGTTGTCATGAGGGCCACACATCACAACTGAGCGTCCCCAGAGAGCCATAGGGGCCACATTTGTGTTGTCATGAGGGCCACACGCCACAACTGAGGGTCCCCAGAGGGCCATATGGGCCACATTTGTGTTGTCATGAGGGCCTCACACCACAACTGAGGGCCCCCAAGGGCCATATGGGCCACATTTCGGCTGTCATGAGGGCCTCACACCACAACTAATTGAGGTCATATAATACAAATTATTACAGAACATTTTGATCACTTAGAAACATACAATGAACACACAAATTGTTTAGCAGCGAGCCACATTCATGAATGCAAATGAAGTAGTTTAACAAAGAAAAACAAATAAATTGTAAACAGCAACATAGACTTCTATGCAACAGCAACAAATACATTATACACAAATTACAATTGTTCAAAATGAACATTTATTTACGATAATTCAATCACTTTTAGTATTGTGACCTTAAGCCATTAAGCGTGACCTTAAGCCATTAAGCGTGACCTTAAGCCATTAAGCGTGACCTTAAGCCATTAACCGTGACCTTAAGCCATTAAGCGTGACCTTAAGCCATTAAGCGTGACCTTAAGCCATTAAGCGTGACCTTAAGCCATTAAGCGTGACCTTAAGCCATTAACCGTGACCTTAAGCCATTAAGCGTGACCTTAAGCCATTAAGCGTGACCTTAAGCCATTAAGCGTGACCTTAAGCCATTAAGCGTGACCTTAAGCCATTAAGCGTGACCTTAAGTCATTAAGCGTGACCTTAAGCCATTAAGCGTGACCTTAAGCCATTAAGCGTGACCTTAAGTCATTAAGCGTGACCTTAAGCCATTAACCGTGACCTTAAGCCATTAAGCGTGACCTTAAGCCATTAAGCGTGACCTTAAGCCATTAACTGTGACCTTAAGCCATTAACCGTGACCTTAAGCCATTAAGCGTGACCTCAAGCCATTAACCGTGACCTTAAGCCATTAAGCGTGACCTTAAGCCATTAAGCGTGACCTTAAGCCATTAAGCGTGACCTCAAGCCATTAAGCGTGACCTTAAGCCATTAAGCGTGACCTCAAGCCATTAACCGTGACCTTAAGCCATTAAGCGTGACCTCAAGCCATTAACCATGACCTTAAGCCATTAAGCATGACCTTAAGCCATTAACCGTGACCTTAAGCCATTAAGCGTGACCTCAAGCCATTAAGCGTGACCTTAAGCCATTAAGCGTGACCTCAAGCCATTAAGCGTGACCTTAAGCCATTAAGCGTGACCTTAAGCCATTAAGCGTGACCTTAAGCCATTAACCGTGACCTTAAGCCAT